AAATAGTAAGATATTTTGAGAGAGAAAAAGACTGCAGTCATGTAACTTTTATTATAGTATTCTATCTTATTATTAGTTGTTGTTGTTAATACCTTACTCTGCCTAATTTATATTTATCGTAGGTATGTGTGTAGAGGAAAAAAAACACTATAATAGGGTTTGGTACTGTCTCTAGTTTCAGACATCCATTGGGGGTCTTGGAATGTATTTCTCACAGATAAGGGGGGACTACTGCACTTTACATCTCTATAAAATAGGTATTTTGTTTTCCCCAGTTTAGAGATGAGGGAGTTGAGTTATGACAGAGTACATATCTAGTATGTACAAAAACCCTGGAGCAATCTAGCTCCCAATAAATACAGGGCAACCAGAGACATTAAACATAAAAGACTTTCTAAAGGAAAAAAAAGCATCCCAAACATTCAGGGATTGGCCTTGAACCATCACCTTGTGCTACTCCAAGCTGGTCTGGCACTCACAACTAGGCCATGTTGTCCCGTTGAATGTGAACAATTTCACAGAACAACATCAGACAAGTCTATTCTGTGACCATGATGGATCAAAACAAACAAAAGACCACTCCCTAATCATGTCCGAACACGGAAAAAACAGAAACATTGTCCAAGCCACAAAAATGACCAAACATCCTAATTTCCCTAATATGAGCAGCTGCTATTTTTTGACCAATTATAGTGTTAACCTTAGTCTAATCTCTTCTTTTATAATTTTTACATCCATGTTTATGAGAAATATCGGCCTGTAGTTTTCTTATGAAAAAACAAAACAAAACCAATCATCATAAAATTACCCCAGCTTCCTGATAGCATCCAACATAGAACAAAGTCCTACTTCCTTATACCTTCCCCAAAATCAAACACAAGCTCAAATTTTTCTTTTTTATTAACTAACTTAGAATTATTATAATACTTGTCATAGGCTTAATTTCTGATTAAGGAAACAAATAAACAAACATTTGCCCAGTTGGAAGCTGCAGGCCTGGTTCCCTGTCCACGTTCTGCAATGTTTCCACAGAATCCTGGGCTAGTGTTCCCAAAGGTGGTGCCCTGAGCTTTCATTGATCCATCTAACACCACCCTGTTACTGAGGTGGCCCTGTGGTTCCCCATGTTGTGGATTCTCCCTTTTTGTAAATGAGTAATAAACCTAATTTGTTCAAACTATAGGTGTGATCCTGGTAGTCTCTGACTGGAAGCATTGACATAGCTAGTAAAACAGTAGGAATGTCAAAGTCTTGGAAAATTCAGAATCAAAGTATACTTTGTAAACCTATACCATTATTTGCTTTAGTTCTTCACAATATCAATTTGATCTGTTTTAGCCACTGAAAAAATTTCAATAGTAAGGAAAATATTTTCTTGCTTACCTGACATTCCATCCATAGTAATGTACCAAGTACAAAACTTCTCCATCATCAATTTCAGTGCTTTTAATACTAGCTTCATAAATTTTCTGCGTTTTCCCTCGTCCATATTTTACTTTCACTTTGGTTCCTGTTAGGCAGGGTTCCATGTCTTCCTCATCTTCCTCCCCTTCAGAGTCACATTTGCTTTCAGTGTCTTCCCTGCAGTAAGTTATAACATTGATAATGCTACTAATAACTTAATGGAGAACAAAATAATATATGCTAAAAGAATTCAAGGTGTCACTAGAATATTCACAACCTAAATATTACCTTAATAACATGTCAGTGGAGGAGGAGAAGAAGGAGGAGAAGGAGAAGATCTTTTATGGCCTACTTACTAAGGAATTTATTGTGGAAAGGTGCACTGTACCAAAAGTAAATCCATACTTCTTAAAGGCCAATCAATAATCATAGTTAATGATGATGTGGAATCAAATAAATCACTTTTGATAAAACAAAATAAGAGAAATATGCTCTGAAAAAGTCTTTAAGATTCATATTTAAGTGTCACCTTCTAAGTGAAAATGATCTAAACACATTTTGTAACTTCTTGCAACTGAATTATCTTAAATCTACATTACTACTACTTTCTGCTCAATTCAGATTAGTAGCAAGACTAGTTTTTTGTGGTGGGTAAGATAATGAACAAGAGCTATTTACCTTAGTAAGCATGTCTTTTTTTTTTTTTTTTTTGAAACAGGGTCTCACTCTGACGCCTGGGCTAGAGTGCAGTGGCATCATCATAGCTCATTGCAACCTCTAACTCCTGGGCTCAAGTGACCCTCCTGCCTCAACCTCCCCAGTAGCTAGGACTACAGGCATGTGCCACCACGCCTGGCTAATTTTTCTGGTTTTTGTAGAGATGGAGTCTCACTCTTGCTCAGGCTGGTCTCAAACTCCTGACCTTAAGCAATCCTCCTACCTTGGCCTCCCAAAGTGCTAGGATTATAGGCATGAGCCACTGTGCCTGGCCAGTAACCATGTCTTTTAAACTCATTTATATTTTTGAGGTTTCCCAGCCCTAACAAAGAAACAATAGATATTTGAATATTAGGTCACTTGTTGACAGGGCAGGATAGCACCAGGAGAACAAAGCTTTGCATATTTGGTGTTGATTTCTATTTACTCATTAGCTTTTACTCATTTTCTATTACCCATTAGCTTTTCTTTCTATTGATAGTCAGGTATAAAAGAGATTCACTCAGGGAGGTCCAACAATATTATTAATATTTTTATGATAAAACATTCTGTATTAACCCTGGAAGATTCAGAAGAGAATTGCATCAAAGATCATTCTAATATCACATGAGTTTTAAAAGCTTAAGAGGAGGTATTGTGCTAATAAATATAGGGCATTATTTTGGTGGCCCCTAGGGCACCTAACATGAAGCAGCTTTGACAGCCCATTTGCAGTGGGAATGTTTTTTCTTCCAGGATATGTTTCAATAATATAGACTGATGAGGTAATTTTAAAATACTATGAGAAAAACTACTTAAAACAAATCTCTATAGATAAAAAGTCTCCCCATTTTCCATGATTCCTGCTATATAATGAGAATACAGACTTGTTTAATGTCTGTATATTCAGTTATTTAATAAAAGGGAATATTGTTCTTCATATTCATGTCTGTGAAAGTTTCTCTAAAATATATCTTTGTCCATTTACATATCAATTATGAAATCTTTTTAAATTACATATTATTTATATACTTAGATGCATGTATATGTAAATAAACTAGCAAGACTAGTTTTCTTGGTGGGCAAGATAATAAACAAGGGCTATTTACCTTAGGAACCATTTTTTTTTTTTTTTTTTTTGAGACAGGGTCTCACTCTGTCACCCAGGCAATATATATACATATTTTGATGTTTATTTCTTCATAAAATTTCAATGTATAATTAGGTCCTACTTTTTAAGTGGCTCACCTTTGCTTAAATATTTTGTCCAAATATTTAAAATACTGTACTCGTATTATTATACCCAACTCCAATTATTTCCTCCCACTTTTCCTAATCCTAAATATATTTCATTACAGAACTTTCTTTCATTCACGTAACCTACTTCACATGTAATTGTGATAGCTCCTGTACCTATCTGTACTGAATCAATTTACCTACTCCATTCTCCTATTTTTCCAAATATTTATTCTCTCACTAGCAGGCTACTTTTCCCAAATTTGGCTTAACAACTCAAATTTCTAGAAAATTCAGTATCACGTAGTATAATAACTGAAAAATAACTACTATGGAGGAAAGCTTATAAGTAAGTGTGTTATGCTGTAGTTGCTCATTTAAAAATCATATTTAAGTAGAATTTAAAAATTAATAAATTTGACAACACTTATAGAAATGGTCAATGAAATAACATGGTCGGACATTACCTTGATCTAGCTGGACTGCCTAATCTTTAGCTATTTTTAAGTCAATTCAGTTGATACATGTCTAATACATGGGAAAAAAAATACAGTTTTCACTCAACAGCAAACAAGAAGGACATTTAAAAAGCTGAAATTTATTGGTGTGATGTGGGGCAAGAATGTATTTTCCAAACTAGAATCAGGGGTGCATGCCACTTATTCTAATACAATAGCTTGAAAAAGAAAAATGTCTTAAAGCTAACACACAGAAACATCTGCTAGTACTGTGCACCCATGTGTTTGTTAGCTTTCCCACATTGTACCTTTTTTAAAATGGAATTTTTGCTGTCGCTGTTTCCTCTTGTCCACTTCCTCCATTTTTCTCCAGCTCCCTTCCCTGCTGTCAACTGCAGGACCTTTCTTTTGACTGGGTGGCGCAGCCTTCTTTGAGGCCACTGTTTAGGGCACAAGTGCTATTAAAATGGTGCGACCAGTATATTCTCCAATTCCGAAAGGCGATACACATCATCTTCATAATGTGTCTCACCTTCATTAGACAAGAGGAACGGAAGTCCCAATAAGAAAACATTCCCTCAAACCTGAATCTCTAAGCAGGAGCAAAGCGCTGTTGTACCCCAGACCGGTGCTTCTGGAGAACAAACATAAGATAATGTACCTCTCTTGGTTTTTCTCTTCCTCTTCATCTGAGTCTTTGTCAGAATCCTCCTGCTTTTTAATTTTCTTCTCTTTTTGCTTTGGTGTATTTTTTTTCCCCAGTAGTAGCTCATTTTCTTTTTTCTCTGCAGTTTCGTAGTCATCATCTACATCCTTATTTTCTGTATCATTATCTTTTAATTTGTCTTCTATTTTCTCTTCTTCAATTTCCTTTTTAATAGAATTTGTATCTCGGGCAATTCTCCTTCGTCCCTAGTAGAGGGTATAAAATCTTTAAAACGGCTATCACTTTAAGGGGGAAGAAAAAGCAGGAAAATATGTCCTTTCCCTAATCTTCACAGAAATGACTAGTCTGCTCTATGGCTTGAGACATGACCCTAAAAACCAACTTACAGGTATTTTTTTCTATTGAAAGTAAAAGAATAACTAATATAGATTACTTAATTATATCTAGGCTTACTATGATCTTAAGCTATACACTACATAAAAAATAAAAATTTTCTTCTTTGTTCACTACATTATCTTATCTCAATTTTAATATTCCTTGACAATAAAAATTTTAAATTATCTAAATGTAAATGATAAAAGTTAACAACCATAATAATACATAAATTCCCTAAATTATAGCCTCTTTAATAGCTCTGTGGTCTCTAATTCCACTGTTTACTAAGATAAAATTTACATTATCACTGTATCTATTTGTCACTATATTTTAAAAGGCCTGAATTGGATCAACGGCAAAAAGTGAGATTTCTTTGAAGGAGTATCTGGAGAGCTCACGGGCCAGCAGTAACTTCTTTTACCTCCAGCAGTGTCTACCCAGCCTCCTGCATGCTCAGCTGCCCATGAAACTGGTGAGCCATTTCCCTATCTCCTAGATTCTCCTTCAAATCAAGCTCTATACACTGGCAGAATTCCCTCTCTTATTGGAATAAACCAAGGATAAAAAAGAGCCAACAACTTAGGGAGCAATAGAATACAATTAATAGCTCAATAAACCAAAATTTTCCCTTGTTACTATGTACACTAATTTATTTTTGTCACAAAGCACTAGAATGCAAGTTCCATGACAGCAGGGACTTTGTATTATTCACTTCTGTATCCTTAGATCTAGAAGGTACCTGGCACATAGCAGGTGCTCTTTAAATATCTGTAGGTAAATGAATGAAAACAACTATTATCTATAAAAATTTAGATCTGTATGCCTTTGTTCCAGAAATTCCATTTTTAGAAGTCTGGCTTATATATTCAGATAAATAAGGAGGATATTTTCACAAGTATATGTATTGTTTTTTACAATAGTAAAAAACGGGAGAAAATCCTGGGAAGGTAAATGTATGGTTCATCCATACTATACAGCACAGTACACTACATAGGACAGGAAGGTCTTTAGGTAATGACAAGAAAGTGTGTCCATAATACATACTATGGAATATTATTCACATTTAAGAAGGAAGGAAATTCTGACAGATGCTACAACATGGATGAACCTTGAAGACGTTATGCTTAGTCAAATAAGCTTGTCACAGAGGACAAATATACTGTATGATTCCACTTATATGAGGTATCTAGAGTATCAGGTTCATAGATACAGAAAGTAGAATGGTGGTTGCTAGGGGTTAGAGGAGGGAGGAATGAGCGTTATTACTTAATAGATACAGAAAATCAGTTTTGAAGGGTAAAAAAATTCTGCAGCTGGATGGTGGTGACAGTTATACAACACTGATTGTACTTAATGTCAATGAACTGTACACTTCAAATTACTTAAGATGGAGGCCAGGATTGGTGACTCATGCCTGTAATCCCAGCACTTTGGGGAGTCAGAGGGAGGATTGCTTGAGGCCAGGAGTTTGAGACCAGCTTGGGCAACATTGTGAGACTCTATCTCTTAAAAAAAAAAAAAAAAAATTTAGCTGGGTATGGTGGAACACGCCTGTAGTCTCAGCTACTAAAAGAATAAGGGGGGGCCGGCGCAGTGGCTTACGCCTGTAGCACTCCAGGAGGCCAAGGCAGGCGGATTGCTCGAGGTCAGGAGTTCGAAACCAGCCTGAGCAAGAGCTAGACCCCATCTCTACTATAAATAGAAAGAAATTAATTGGCCAACTAATATATATAGAAAAAAACTAGCCGGGCATGGTGGCGCATGCCTGTACTCCCAGCTACTCGGGAGGCTGAGGCAGGAGGATTGCTTGAGCCCAGGAGTTTGAAGTTGCTATGAGCTAGGCTGACGCCGTGGCACTCACTCTAGCCTGTGCAACAAAGCGAGACTCTGTCTCAAAAAAAAAAAAAAAAGAAAGAATAAGGTGGGAGGGTCACTTGAGCCTAGGAGTTTGAGACTGTAGAGGACTATGATCCTGCCACTGCACTCCAGCCTGGGTGATAAGAGTATGACCTTATCTCTAAGAAAAAATTAAAAGTTAAGATGGTAAATTTTATGTTGTATGTATTTTGCTATAATTTAAAAAATAAAATTAGAAAAGAAATGAAGAGACCAATTTGGATATTTCATGACATTCACTATAAGATTCCATTTATTAGATAATACTTAGAATTAATAGTTTAAAAAATGGTTTCTGAGCTAAAAGAGAAAAGTAATTTCACCTTCTTTTTCATCTTCTCTTTCATATAATAGTAATTAAAACTTCTTTGATAAGGTGGTAAATTTCTTTCTCCTCCTAAAATTTGATAAATCCTAGTATGTAGACATCACTGGACACTGATCAGAATAGCAGATGACAATTCCTTATAGATTAATGGAGAAGAGGAGTAGAATTGGAAGACAAAACCAGTGTACAAATGACTAGAGCTGTAAAGTGTGTTATAAAGTTACAGAGAAAGACAAGACACCATCTGGCTGAGGGCACAGATATTATAAAGAGGAGATTCACTCATTCAAGACCTACTTAATAAGCCTTTACTATGTGCCACACACTATCCTAGATGCTTGGGAGCTGTCAATGAACAAAATAAACAATAATTCCTACTCTTATGGAATGTGATTCTAGCATAGAGTGGGACAAAATAGACAATAAATAATAAACATAATAATTATGGATAACAGCAACATTAGAGGGATTGAGAGTGCCAAAGGGAAGAGGTAGGTTATAATTTTAGAAAAAGTGACTACCATTGGCTTCAATGAGGTGACACTTCAGCAAGACTCGAAGGAAGGGAATATATGAGACTGAACTCAGATTAGAACAACTTGATCAAACATAACTACAAAAGATGAGGAAAAGTTTTCAGGTAGAAGAAATAATGTATAAAATAATTTTTAAAAAGTAGCCAGCTAGTCTAGCTGAAGTAAAATTAAATACTGGAAAATAAACTAGGTTTACTGTAGTACTTTTGTGTATATCTGAAAATGTCTATAATAAAAAAATTTAAATAATGCTTAAAATAAACCAGGTAAAACTAATAGTAAGTACTCACCCTTGGAGATTTTAATTCTATCTCTTCTCTTTCACTTTCACTGTTTGAATCAATATTTTCCTCAGGTTCACTCTTCACTTCTATTAGAGGCATTTCTTGATCTGCTTTTAGGGCCTCTTCCATTGATTCTTCTAAGTCTTTTTTTTCTTCTTTTACTTTTGGTTCATGGTGGTGAATAGTTCTGAATTGAATATTTGCAGAACGGCAATACTCTTCAAAACCATAGAGATACCTAAACAAATAATATTTCATTTAAGAAATCTTTGCATTTAATTTGAATATTATGTTATTAAACATATTCTTTTTAAAAGTAAAGGTCAAGTCACTTAAAAAAATTTTTTTTTTTTAATTAAGCTCTGTTGCTGGGACTAGAGTACAGCAGCGTCATCACAACTCACTGCAACCTCCAACTCCAGGACTGAAGTGGTCCTCCTCCTTCAGCCTACTGAGAAGCTGGGACTACAGGTGCGCACCACCATATCTGGCTAATTTTTCTGTTTTTTCTAGAGGCAGAGTCTCACTATGTTGCTCAGGCTGGTTTCAAACTCCTGGCCTCAAGCAATCCTCCAGCTCTGGCCTCCCAAAGTGCTAGGATTATAAGTGTGAGCCACTGTGCCCAGCCAAAGTACTTTTTCTATGTTACTAATATCTTGATGTTTTAGACAGGATTATAAACAGAAATACTGATAATGAAATAAAATGCCTTCCTAAGAAATTTGAGGTTGTGATAACTGAATATAGCTATTATAGTTTTCACACAAAGTTGTCCACTCCAAAAGATACAGTTCTATAATGTGTATAATAATTTCAGACTATAGATACTACCTGCATCCCTGATTTTGGAAAGGAAAGCAGGACAACATGAGAGATGAAGTAAAGCAGATTTGATATAGTGAAATACTTTCAATCACAAGTACCTATTAACCTAAACTTTTTATACACTTTCCCTACCTTTAATGCTCCTTGTTTGATACACTCTTGTTTAACTGTTAACAAATTAAATGGAAAATATTTCCTCTAAATATGAATTCTTTGATGAACAAACTATACTACTTACTTTCTATAAGCAGTTTTTACATTGTAGGAAGCAGCCGAATTCAAAATAGGAATGCCAAGGTCCATATAAATTTGCTTCCATACAGCACCACTATCAATCTGGAAAATTAAGTTTTTGTGTTAACATTTGCAAAGGGAAATAATTTACACTAATACTCTATGTTCAAGAAAATTAAACTTAAACTTTCTTAAACTCTAAAATTTCTTAAACTCTATGTTTAAGAAAATGTGCTTATTACCTGAAGTGCATGTAATAATGTAATATTAGATGATTTAACTTTTCATGACATCACTACATATTTCAAAGAGCAATGTTACACTTACATTGTCACATCCACCCTGATGATAAACCAGTCTGAAGAGTTTGAAGAGATTGAGATCTTTATAGCCCAAAACAGGTGGTTTGTTGATTGGAGTACCTTTATAAGAACATAGTAAAAGGTTTATTCAAGTGAAAAATACTAATCTGAAAACAAAGTTATCAATTTCTAATTTCCCAAATTTCATAAGAGGCACATACTTAAAGAATCTATGTTATGTAAGACAACACAAAATATTCTCTATATTACATATACAGCTTTGTAAAAGTCTTTAGATTCTAGGATTTGTACTTCTATAGCTAATAAAGTCTAAAGTCGCCTCTCTACCTGCCAATGAATTGGGTAAAACTAGATTAAACCTTGGGACTGCGAGGTGTGGCCAACAATGCTGCTGATTCAAGAAGTTTGGGCTTGAACAAACACAATGGAAAGGGGAAGTTTCATTTAGGCTGTGGTTCCATTTTCACTGTTTTAATGCAAATTGTTAAGACTGTTAGCAGTAATCTGAAGGATGATTTCTGAAGGGCAAAGAATGTCTAGAACTAATTTATCTGAGGATTTTCTAGGAGTAATGAATGTCAAGCAATATGATAAATTATAATGGTTCTATTTCTTCTATCTGTACCATTTCAAATAGGGACTGATCTATTATGTTTAATTGTTAAGAATAAGGATCTGGCTACATTTACTTGCTATAAATATAGCATTAGTAATGAATGGCATGCAGATTATTTCTACTCAAAACAGAAATTAATAATTTGTTTTTATTCTAAACATGTTAACTACCATCAGGTATAACTGATTGTTAGGCTTTAATTAAAATCCAAAACTATGTACACCATGATATTACCAAAAACAATGCATATACCTTGAATGTAAACCTTAAAAGAAATGACTACTTTTAAATAATGAGCATAAAAATACCTCTGTCTTCCATAAACTTGTAAAGCTGTTGGAGGAAGTTGTCCCTCTCTTCAGGATCAAGTTCTTCCTCAGGCTGTGAAGGTAAAATATATACAAGTATATAGCACAGTCAACAGGAAGAGATACATGACTTCCTTTATTTTGTTTTTTTTTTTTTGTGAACCCAATGTAAGGTGATACAATTTTAATGAAGCTGGAAAATTTGAATTTTCTCAAAATCCTACAATGCCAGATGTTAAGTCATATTTTGGTACAGCTAATTTAATGCATCTGTGAAGATATATACTATCTACCTCTGCCCCATTTATCATTCTAAACCTACCCTTGAGTATCACCATAAGACTAAAATTAGCCATGAGGAAAAGATTGAGGAAAGGAGCGGGAGTGTTAAGTTTTTACCTCACTTGGTATTTTTTTAAAAAACCCATCCAAAAATTATGTGGCCAGGTTGGGTGAGATGGGTCACACCTATAATTCTAGCACTCAGGGAGGTCGAGGCAGGAGGATCACTTGAGTTCAGGAGTTTGAGACCAGCCCAAGCAAGAGGGAGACCCAGTCTCTACTAAACATGGAAAAATTATAATAGCTGGGCATTGGCTGGGCGCGGTGGCTCACACCTGTAATCCTAGCACTCTGGGAGGCCAAGGCAGGAGGATGGCTCAAGGTCAGGAGTTCGAAACCAGCCTGAGCAAGAGCAAGACCCTGTCTCTACTAAAAATAGAAAGAAATTAATTGGCCAACTAAAAATATATAGAAAAAAAATTACCCAGGCATGGTGATACATGCCTGTAGTCCAGCTACTCGGGAGGCTGAGGCAGAAGGACTGCTTGAGCCCAGGAGTTTGAAGTTGCTGTGAGCTAGGCTGATGCCAAGGCACTGTAGCCCGGGCAACACAGTGAGTCTCTGTCTCAAAAAAAAAAAAAAAAAAAAAAAATACCTGGGTGTTGTGGTGTGCACCTTTAGTCCCAGTTACTTGGGAGGCTGAGGCAGAAGATTTCTTAAGCCCAGGAATTTGAGGTTGCAGTGAGCTAGAAAGACACCACTGCACTCTACCTGGGGCAACAGAGTGAAACTCTGTATCAAAAACAAAAACAACCCCCAAACTATTTGGCCTGTACAAATATATTGGTAGGTGAATACAATAATGGTATATATATTTATTATATAAAAATAATTCACATGCAAACATTAAGGTTTTTGTTATTGTTGAATGAATATAAAACCAGGAGTTGCAAAGTCACAGTGGCAAAGGTTTTTTGTTTAGATAGCACAATGTTTTAAAGAAATTTAAACGTATTTAAGTGAGTCACATAAATTCTACTTTGCCCCAGACCCCATCACTCCCTCTTGTCTCAAAATAGCCTATTTTTCTCATTTGGCTTTCTTGTATGGCCTCTGTAGTTTACTTTGCAACCCCTGAAATTAAGACAATGAGAATTGTTTCTTAGGGAAGGAAACTAGATATTAATTACAAATTTAGCTCTTTCAAAAAAAAAGAAAGACTTGGCCAGGCATGGTGGCTCCAGCATTTTCAGAGGCCAAGGTGAGAGGATTGCCTGAGGCCTGGAGTTTGAGACCAGCCCAAGCAACACAGCAAGACCCCATCTATAAATAAATTAATTAATTAAAATAAATTAAATAAATAAATAAATAAATTAGCTAGGTGCAGTGGTGTGTGCTTGTAGTTGCGGCTACTTAGGAGGCTTAGGTGGGAGGATCTCTTGAGCCCAGGAATTCAAGGCTGTAAGTGAGCTATGATCCAGCCACTGCATTCTAGCTTGGGTGACTGACATCTGTCTCTCAAAAAAAAAAAAAAGAAAGAAACATTCCAGGAAAAACAATTATTCTTAAGTACCTGTTTAAATGTTCCTTTTTACTAATATATAAACCGAATGTGATCTCTTCCTATACTGTCATGGTCTGGGCTCTAATCAAACAAATGGATTATGGATCTTAAAATATTTTATTTTCTGATAGACTACTTATAACTAACATTTGGGAAAATTTTTACTTAAAAGTTTAGCAATACTATGGAGAAACAAAACACTGATACATTTCTTCCATATAAATGATCATAACTTCATTTTAGAGTACTATTTTTCCAAGTTCTAAAAGAATTCAGATTTTTGTCTTTTCAAAGCAAAGTACATTCAAACTCTCAAGCAATAAATATTGAGCTTTCAGTGTCCAAAGGGCAACAGTCACTTTAAAATTATATTATCTAATAGCTAACAATATAGCCAGGACCAATAAATAAGTAGTTGATTAAAATATATAATTAAAAACCCATGAGGCAATCAAGAGAAAGAGAATAAGATCTTATATTAAATTATTTTTTTCTTCTCTTTCAATATATTCATTCAGAATGATTTATAACATTGAAATACTTTCAGTTTTAGGAAACAAAGAAACTTAAGTCAAAATTCTACTAAGTCTCAAAAGTCAGCAATTTACGAAGTTAATAATCACTATAAAGTTAAAAGGTTTCATTATTTAATGCTCAAATCAAGAAATGGCAGGTTTTTTCCCCATGTGAATTAAAAAATCTTGATTTTATTAAGTTAACTGCCAATGAGTTAACCTAAGAAAAAAAGTAATCCAATAGCCCAGGAATCATTTCATTTACTAACTTTGAGGACATATAGTGTGGGGGGAAAAAAACAAACCCAAAAACTATTTATGCCAGACTAGCTCTATGCTTTGCCTGTGCTGCATAATCACAATATTCTCTCTTCAGATTAAAACCTCATTCCAATATTCATTATCTTACAGAATTCAGGTAAGACTGTCTTATCCAATATATATAAAAGTAATTCTTTTAAAAGGCACTGATTTAAAATTAAAGTCGCCCCTAAAAACAAGTGAACAAAATCAACCCATCAATTGCAAATTAGGTACATGTTAAGGTTGTACCAAACATTTGATAAATTCTTAATGATTAAGAATTTATTTTTATGAATAAAAATTGGTTTAAATGCATTTTATTTAAAAGTGAGTGAATGACTGTTTTAGGTTCCATAAGAAACCATGGCCATAAAATTGTAAGTTTTGGTGCAGTAAGAAGTGTAAAAATAAAATATAAATTTCTTTTCTACCCAAAATAAATGAATAAATATGAGACCATAAACAAAGTCTTAAATTTATCTAATGGTTTTTTTGTTTTTTTTTGAGACAGAGTCTCGCTTTGTTGCCCAGGCTAGAGTGAGTGCCATGGCATCAGCCTAGCTCACAGCAACCTCAATCTCCTGGGCTCAAGCAATCCTGCTGCCTCAGCCTCCTGAGTAGCTGGGACCACGGGCATGCGCCACCATGCCCGGCCAATTTTTTCTATGTATATTAGTTGGCCAATTAATTTCTTTCTATTTATAGTAGAGACGGGGTCTCGCTCTTGCTCAGGCTGGTTTCGAACTCCTGACCTCGAGCAATCCGCCCGCCTTGGCCTCCCAGAGTGCTAGGATTACGGGCGTGAGCCACCGCACCCAGCCCTATCTAATGGTTTTTATGAAAATTAAAATTGCTTTATGTATTACATAAGCAATTTTCCACAACTGTGTTTTTGAAGTTACCTGTGTGGCTAGTCCTTTACACCTTGGAGTAAAACTGCATAAGCCAGGAAATGTCTCTAATTAGAATAATGTCCTTTATGACTTTGGTATGGGACTTGTATTTGCTATCAGGGTTTGCCTTCTCTGCTCATGGCATTTTCATATCTACAGCATCTCTCTCCTGGTTGAGAGCCAGATGCTGTTGCATCTCTCAAGAGTTTTAGAGAGGTAGAGGGTTGTAAGGTTGAGGGTCCATTAGACTGTGCTGAGGAGCCTTCTTCCCTTCATTTAGACAAGCATGTAAAAAGTAACTATGCATCCAGTAAAATGCCAGCACAGAAAAGGGGCTTAATGATATAGAAGAGGCAAGTATATGATCATAAGTTTAAGAAACTCCCAATTTTAGTTAGAATGAGTATATACTACTTAGTATTATAGGCAGTTGCATATCTATCTACACTACTGGATTGTAAATTTTCTGACTTCAAGCACTATGTCTTCAAATTAAGTTCAAACATTTATTGATGGTTACCATGAGTCAGAGATTGTGCAAAAGCACTGTGGATTAAAATGAGAACGCATGGTACCTTCTATTTTTGCTGCTCTGAGTCTGGCAGGGGGTGTCGAAAGGTAAAACAAGCCAATGTAACACAATGTGATAAGTGTTGTAAAATACATAAAAGAATACATGAGCAAAAAAGGGAATGAATGGTTTTGTTAGAGATGAAACGGCTGTAATAATATTAGGGAACGCTTCAAAATGTACATAGTAGACAGCCCTGGAGCTAGAAAGCAAATAGCATAGGCATGAGACTGGCAAAAGCAGGCTGGGATTAGGAAAGGTCTTTGTAATGATACACTAAAGAGTCAGAACCTCAAACCTTGGTGTGAGGTTTGAGAAAGCTAAAGAGGAATTAGTCAGATTTGTGTTTTTAAAAGTTCTTGGCCAAGAACGAGTTTGATGGATTGCGAGGGAAAAGGAAGCTATTATAGTAGTCCACAAGGAGGAAAGTGAATGCCTGAATTAGTCTTGCTACTAAGGATAGAAAGATCATCCTTTTCCCCCTGAAGAGGAGATGGGAGGAGAAAGAGGAGAGGGAAAGAGAAGGTAGGGTGGGAGAGATGGAGAGGGGGAGGGAGAGAGAGAAAGTATGGTTAGGGAGGAAGAGAGAAAGAAAAGAGAGAGAAAGAGAGACACACAGAGGGAAGAGTTATATGCTAAGTGTTTGCTGTTGTTGTTGTTGTTGTTATTTAAGTATTACTCATGTTTGTAGCCTAAAATTCTAACACATGTAAATGCTCAGTAAGTTCTGTAGGTTTGGGATATACCTATTTTACTCACAATTTTATCACTAAGGACTGACATTGTAAACACTCTTTTATGTGAATGAAAATTACATGTGTGTGAAAGAACTGGGGAGAAGGCATTCTTCAGTTTCACATTAACTGAATTTGAGGGTTAACATTAATGATAATTAATATAAATAAAAATAGGAGTCAGAGAAAAGGGAGAAAAATAAGAATGGCTGAGGATGTTCTTAAGACACAAGTGGTTGTGGCACAATTACTTGCTGGCATTTACCTTTTCCCTTTCTCTCTCAAATACATTCATCTGAAAATGAATGATTACGCACTCAGAAATGGCATAAATTCTAGTGAAGAAGAGGCTTCCCACCACTGTACTGTGATGGGAGGTAAATACGATTTATATTTTTAATAAAATAATACTTGCTTTTTGCTGAGTTATTAACTTTCTTAGCTAGCAACTCTACTTTCCAATAAAAATTAGGAAGGTATACAGAAAGTATCAAAATTGTCAAAATAAATGCCAATAAAATATGATGCACTTACACAAAGCCCTTCGGAGACCTATGTAACCTGTACACAGTTCTGTGAGTGGGCTGGGATAGCTTCTAAGCACATATCAGACTGGAGCCCTGGAGCCCCCAAAACTGACATTTTTGAGAGTGAGGAAGGATGTAACTAAACTTAGTTTTTTTGGTTTCCCCGTACTGTATATATTGTATGTGATGGTACACATTGTTTGTTGATGGGTATCTCAGCTTTTGAAAACCCCTATGGGAATCCTTTAGAAGTTTTAATGATTCTACAACACCCCTCCCTTTTTTTTTTCTTCGTTTTTTGGTACTCTAGTATACCACACTAATTTTCTAAACAAACCAAAATGCTAGTTTTTTTGTGAAATAATATTACTTTGGACATAAGCAGCTTTGTTCACCCTTCATGATGCTACCTATAACCCCTCTTCTGGTCCTCTTCATTGCCTCCCCTTCTCACCCCATCTCTGAAACTTCATCGTTAAGTCCCAGTCCTCAGTAATTACAATCCCTTGTTCTCCCCTCCTCCATGCCACCATCTCAAAAAAGAGGCTAAGCTTGGAGCCAGCAGGAGGAGCCCTCTTAAGCAGGCAGATCCCAGCTGAGGAAGGAGAAGTGTTAGGACAGTGTCAAGAAAGCCCCACCCTGGAGAGCTAAGCACTGCAGGAAGTACATCAGAAGTGAGCTTTCAGGGCACCTCTGGGCAGGAGGACTAACAGCAGGGAAGCAGCAAAACCAGTAGCTGCTTACACTGTTTTGTATAAGATTTTAACTTTGAAATGTATTAAACAGCCTCACTAATTTTTATGTGAAATAAATACAAGAATAACTCACTAAACTTAATGCATAGAATGTGTAAGCCATACTCACTTTAATTCAAGTAGAACCCTCTTTTTTCCTATATAGACATCTGTTATGTTTTTTAAATATCAGCTGTTTTTTATCATTTATCCATTTTCTGAGTTTTTTTAAACTTTTATTTTTCCTGTTAAATTTAATACTGATAAAGGGCATGGACAATACAAAGGTGATATTCAACGTAATATACTTGACAACTCAACAAACAGCTCTGAACAATATCTAAGTGGCAGCAGGGGAGCTATAAGAAGTTTGGTATTGCGGAAGAATAGTGGAAGGCAGAATAAAAAGGTAAGCACGGGTCAAATCATAAAGGGCCAGACTTCTAAAGGCCTGTGATAAAAAGCCTAGAATTTATCCTGTAGGGGCTGAAAGCCACTAAAGGGTTTCCAGCAGGAACCATCTATGTTTCAGAAAGATGTTTATGGAGAATACATTGGAGGGGAAAAGACCAGGGAGAAGACACCTGAAATAAGTGGGGCAAAATACAAAGGACGAGTATTATTAGTCAAGACCTCTTATTGCAAGCAACAGAAAACTATCCCAAACTGGCTTAAGCCAAATAGAATTCATTTATAAACTTACAAAATTATGTAAGGAAATAAGATTGCCTATGGAGTGCATTGCCTGACAAAAGAGATATTAAGAAGGGAAGTTAGATAGCTTATCCTGTGGTTCCTCCCAAAGTGAACTTTTTAGAACCTTAAAATAAATCTCATAGCACCTGTTTCAAATGGTAACTTGCTAGGATAATTGCACAGTCCATATTCATTCATTTATTCAGAAACTATTTAATGAAGGTTTAATATAAGCTAAGCTCTGTATTGCTAGCTGGTAGGTATATATACTGGTGGGAAGAGAAAAAAGCAAAAACCTGACATCCTCTACTTTCATAGACCTTACAATCTAGAGAAGGAGAGAAAATTTTCTTAAAAGCTTGTGAAACCTTCTGTAACCTTTTTAAATCTCAGTTTCCTCACTTAGGAAAACAGAAAAGGTGGTGGAAGATGTTGTAAACACACACACACACACACACATATCTTAATAGACTGTTGTGAGGATTAAGTAAATAGTCTTACTTTAAAAACCACCAGAGCTCCAAGAATAAATTGAGAAGATTATTTGGTGTGGTCATTGTTACTTGTCTCTATCTCCTACAAAATGTAAATATTTTAACAGTAGTATAATAAAAGGTACATCTTTTTTGTACACTGATGATGTACGCTCTGGTAAACTGAATGTATTTTGTTGTCACAACACTTGGTGAAATTGCAAATTAAGTCTTAAATTTAAAAAGAAAACTTAAAAACTTAAACTTCAAGTTTAACATTAAGTGATAACTCAGACTTATCCTGGAACTAAAAAAAAAAGAAAGAAAGAAAAACAAAAAAAGATTAACTTTAAGTGAAAAACAAAACCAATATTAAGTCTGGTACCTCAGGTCTAAATGATTCCCAAGGCTATCAATAAGCCCAGCCCCAAGTAGAATTCTGAAGAACTGTCCAGAAAGTTACATGTAAAAAACTGACAATTGACAATATGAATTTTAGAAGAAAGGAAACTGAGAGAAAAGTTCACAATCTTCATAGGCATACGTCATTTAGTATAAGGGCTGACAGCCATGACAGTGTTGTATTACAATATAGTCATTAAATCAAGTAAACAGGATGTTAAATAATGTTCAGTATACCACTTTGAGAAAGGGATGGCATTATGCAATATGTTTTAAAAATATTTCAATGCAAAATAATAAAAACTACAACCTCTTTCATCCCCTAAAATTATTTTATTCCTAAAGGAATCACATATATATAGTTTTCATTCAAAAAAGAAATCTACTTTAGATCCACTACAGAGAATAGATTAGAGGAAGAACAGTGAGTTGCTACTGCCTTAGTCTAGGTAAAACAGAACAGAACAAAACAGTGGCTTGGATTAAGGTTGACAAAGAGTAGAAACAGGCACATTTGAAAGCTATTCAAGTAGGTACAAGAGAAAGGACTCAGTGTCTGATTGGAATGGGGGTAGGAAGAGAAGGAAGAATCACGGTGACTTCCACATATCTGGCTTGGATAACTGGGTGGAATGGTGCTTCTATTGAAATGAATTAGGGACAATCAGGAAAAGAATAGGTTTGAAGAGAATGAATGCTGTCTTCCACATACTGACTTTGAGAACTTACAAGTTAAGAAGAAATCCACATTGGCAGTTTGATATAAAATCTTGAGCTAAGAAGAGACCTTTGATGCACATATAGCTATGGAGTCATCATATCATTTAGTTAGAAAGTAAACCAGAAAACAAAAGTTACATCATGGATTTCAAGTGTTTTAAAAAATTAGGTATGTTAGGGGTACTGAATGCTACTAAGCAGTCAAGTAAGATCAGGACAAAAATTTGTTTGGTTTAGTACAAAAGTCTGTTGGAGTCACAGGGGACCTTAGTAAAGTTGTTTGGGTTGTGGGAGGATAAAACACACTATAATGAATTAAAAATGAATGGGAGGCCAAAGCAGGAGGATCGCACCCAAAAGTTTGAGGTTGCTATGAGCTAGGCTAACACCACGGCACTCTAGTCTGGATCTGTCTCAAAAAAAAAGAATGAATGTGAGGTGAGGAACAGTATATATAACTGAGCAATCTTGCCAAGAGCCTAAAGAAAGAATAAAGTAGAGAGGTTGTCAGAAGATTGGTGGAGGGATTATGGAGGGGTTGTCAGAAAGCTGGGAGAGATGTAAGCATGTTTTTAAAAGCTGATGAGAAGGATACAATGGAGAAAAATAGGTTAAAGATGCTGGAAAGAAAAGAGAGCGTTGATAGTCTAAGATTCCTAAAAGGAAGAAGAGAATGAGATCCAGAGCATAAACTGAGGGACTCATCTTACAGAGGAGGACAACACCTTGTCAATTGTCCTTGGAGGGAAAGTGAGCAGGCAGGTAGGGTTTAGAGCAGGATTCCATCTGAAACTCCCAGTTTCTTTCTGAAGTTGGAATGGAATAAGGTATAGTTGCTGGTTTAATAGAAGAGATAACAATCTGATTCAGAAATTGGGAATTGACCGATTATGTTAAAACCCGGTGAAATTTGGTAATCATAAAATTTATAGTGGTTCCATTCTTTCCTGTTGTACACTTAGAGAAAATTTTAGGGCTCACATAAGATATAATATATTCATGGTAAGACACTGTTTTATAATTTCAGAATATAGTTTAACAGTCTACCTAAAATAAATGATTACATGACTCTTGTATTACATCAGAATTAACTGAGCCTAGTAATTTCCTCCCCCTTAAAAAGGTACATACAGTTGAATCATCAAGATGTGGTTTAGATGCTATCAAATCCAAGTTTTTAATATCAATCAACCCTATCATATGACCACAACTATAAAATGCATTGACATGAAAAGTGTTAACTATATAAAAATATAACTGCATTTTGTGTACAAATGTGTAATCCTCATTAATCTGATTAGATGATCCTAATTTGGCCGGAGTCTTATACATTAACATTGTGAAGAAAAGTTTTGCTAAACACATTAGAGCATTTTTATTTTCTTGTTTAACTGGCTAAACTTTAAGACTTTAGCAAGTCAGCTATTATATTTGATCACAAACTAAAGTCTCAATTATTCTTTGAAGGTTGGCTTTTTAGGATCTACTTAGAAACACTCAACTGGCATGTAGAATTATTCAATATTCCTGAAATAGTAACATTATATTTAAACTTTTCTTTAAATTTTACCAACTTAGCATGGTTTTCCTGAGTTATCGACCATTTATTATAGGTCTATACCCAAAGTGATCTTCAATGATCACTAACAAATGCCTTTACAGTCAATTTACAAAGAGGCATAAGTTAACAGGCACAAATAATATGTGATTTAAACATCAAAAATAATATTCATATTCCCATGAATAAAAAACTCAAATACTTATGACTGTTACAATAGTGAAATGTAATCTTAGGCATTAAATGTAACTGTGATCCACAGAAAATTCACAAGATTAGAGAAATGGCTATCAATACTTCTACACTAAAAAGCACAGTTCTTAGAAAAATTCACTAAATTCTAATTTTATTTCTAAAAATGAACTTATAAGATATTTTTGAAAGCGCCCAACACATAAGCCTACTTACAACAAACTAAAGAATTAAAAAAGCTAAGACTAGTCACATTTCCCTTGATATTCAGTCTTCTAATCAACCATTCATTTATTTCACCCTGAGAAAACTATTTATCCAAAGTAAATACAAGTCAGGAAAAAATGAATAGTTGATATCATCACTTATGTTTACATGGACTTTTCAATCAAATTCAAAGGTGAAAAGAAAATTCAGTAAAATCTTTTCTAATAAAATATTTTTTAACAAAAATCACTTAAGTAATATCAACAAAAATATTCTCCAGGGCTTTTTTTCCCCAGAATAATTATCAATGAGTTGAAATTTAAAGTCATCAATATAGATAAGACCTACTTTCTCTCAGATCCTCAAATCTATTCCCAGGCAGCAACAGTATGAGATATATTTCTTATACTCGAATCCTGAACTACCAATGCTTAGGAATTCAAAATATTAAATAAAAAAGATGCTCCTTGATGGCAAACTCACAGAATCTCAAATCTCCTTGTTAAGGCTATGTTAAGGTGCCCAAAGCATCAAATATAAACACAATGTCCATTGTATTATCACTGCAGAAGTATCTGCAGAAGTACCTAACACTTGTATGATTCTACTGCATAAAAATTGCCTGCTATACTTCGAACACCAAATGACAGTATTGTTATAGTGGTTTACAGAATATTATAAAAGAATTTTCTATCAATGTAAAGCAACATTAAATCTTCATGAAAAGCACATCATCATTACATTTTGGAAAGACTATGCATAATCTGTAATGTAATACAACAGCTTAGTCTCACTTATGTGGTAAAGGCCCATAATGACTAAGCCAGGTAGGCCGTGGCTTACCAGATTTTTATTCATTTTACACCATACTCATTTTTCCCCTTTTTTATGTATAAAGTGCTCTTCAGTTTATCAGAATATAAAATTTTTAAAAATTACTGTTCAAGACAAGTTAGAATGATTCAGCAACTAAATCTTAAACCTAAGAACAAGAAATGCAACTGATTTTTCTCTAAAGCAACCAAAATTTCACTCAAGAAAATCTACCTGTCTGGCCAGGGAGAAGAATTAGTTTATATCAAGTAATTCAATAAAGTATATGCTACAAAATTGACCATCTGAAAATAATTTAAAGTAATATTCATATAAATCAGTTCCTAAATTGTGTAATTTTGCTGTTACTTTCAGCAGATGAAAAGCATCCTGATTCACTTAATTTTAACAGGCTCATAATTTAATTAACACATTTTAAGAAGATGCTATCCTTATAAGTGCCCTTACCTTTTAAAATTTCTTTACTATTACCTGCAAACAATAGGTAACAGAGCTCTTTGCCTCTGCTCTTCATTCTTTTCTACTAACATTTATTCACAGCTTGAATAAAACATTACAATATTTATGAAATTAGTCATTGTAATAAGAGCACTATTTACTATTTCACAGACACCCTCTGCAACTTTCTACAAAGCTCTTTTTACCCTCTTTGCTTCAAATTTCAGGGGGTTTTTGTAAAGGATTAGGGGGCAGGGAAAATGCATTCTGGAAGGGATGCCAATTAAAAGTATTAACAAAAATAAAGAGACCAATCTTTGTTCAATATTGGGCAATATAAGATCCTAACTAATGTTAATTAAAAAAAAAAAAAAGCTAAACCACGGACTGCAACAGTTCACACCCTGAAAATGTGGCCTATTTACCCTGAAAACATATAATCTATAAATAAATACAGATAAAATACAAAAAAAAGCACATTTAATAATCAGACTTTAAATCTTGAATTTAGCCAAACTGTCTCATTATAATTTTCATTTCAAAATCTATCTTATGTTTCAGAAAATTTGCCTTCATCCATTGATATTCTAAAAATAGACTCCTACTGTCTTTTATACAAGAAACAATTACGCTTGGTTATGAGTCCTACCATATCAGCCACATCATCAATATCTAAAATTCTTATTTAACTCCATTTTTGGCAAGCAAAATCATAACTAAATATACAAAAAAAGAAAAAATCTTACCTATGTGCTGCATTTCCTTTCAAATGCAAAATGGTTAGATTCCCCTTCTACTTAATCAGTACAGGGTCTGGACATTTTTCAGTCTGACTTGCAAATATTTGCTTTCCCTCTTAAGGGCATAGCATCCGCAGGGTTATACAGCACTACTTACATTCTCTTCCACATAAAAATCAGACATTACATGAAAGGAAAAGAAAGACAGCCCATTTCAAAGCATCTGGCAGACCTCCATTGGCAACCTGCCAAGCCTCTGCTAAACCTTCCTGTCTTTCCGAGCATGCTCACTTAAAACCAACAGCACGTTACTATGGCAACTCTGTAGGCAGCCTGTAAGTATGAACCGCCATTCTGATTTCAGAGTGTAAAAAAACCAAATACTGCAGTGGAAGTAAAAGGGAAGAAACAGCGTATGCCCTTCATCACATAAAAGTATATGCATTTTGTTTCATAAATTCTTATTTGTGTATGTAAAACAGAAACAAGCATCTCACATTTTTTCCAAATATTTTTCATGCTCAAATAGGTCCCCCTTTCCAGTAAATTCATTCTCTTTGTCTTGCCCCTAAGCCCCTTTACCCCATAACAACCAAAAATACACTGGACAGTTCATCCCATTTGACAAAACACTGCTGAATAAATAGACAACAATATTCATGTAAGCAATCATGCAATTCTTTCATGGATGATTTCCTACAATTATATGTATATTTTAAATGATATGGCAATATTACAGACACAACCATTAGCACTTACAACATACAATCTAAATCTTTCCTAAAATTTTTTCAGACCAAACCTGGGTTCAAATCCCTATTTTCCACATTTTAATTGTGCCACCTTGGGAAAATCACTTAACCTTTCTGAACCTCACTTTCCTCACCTTTAAAGTAAGATAATAACAGTTACTTCATATGGCAACATTTTAAATGAATTAACACACATAAAATACTTAAAATTACATTTCTTTCCTCCTCGGTTATTTGGAAAAGATGCTTAAAAAAACAGTTTGCACCTGTTGATTAATTAACCTGAAAAATACTTCTTTGTAACCTCTTACTCAAAATTAGTTCTGATTTATACACTAAGCTATGAACCAAAAAGCTTCCTCAACCCCAAATTCAGTTGTGCTAGAAATGGACAGAAACAACAGAGAATCTAACCA